TGTAGCCGGACTTCGGTAGCATTCGATAAAGTAGCATATCACTGTTATTCTTTTCTTTCAACAAGTCATCTGTCCGTTTTTTGAGCTGTTTTTGTAATATGAGGGTCTCATTCCTCATTCCTTCGACGAGATGATCGATCAAACTTCCATTTCTATTAAAGTGTCAATAATGAAAAATAAAAATAGTGTCACAACCTTCCAGGACAAAGTGATTCACAAACATCTTTGAACTCCGCTATACGTGGTCTCTCAATTGGCTTCTGGCTCCAGCATCGCTTAATCAAGGGAACCTGCAATAATAAAGATATCTAGCGGTAGCAACAGAACTACAATTCGTCTATCCATCAGAGCAGATGATTTTTCTTTCAGAGCTGGACCCGTACTTCTTCCGTCTCGAACTTCTTCTAGTATATCTGTAAAATCAAACAATGTAAGACGTTTCCAAAAATTTTTTACCATTAACCGTCTTACTAGTTGAAGATAGGTTCCAAGGATCAGATACGTTGATTATTTCTGAGCAAATTATGGCCAAACTATACATATCTGATTCAGGTGAAGCTCCCGCAAGGTTATTCAAAATCTCTGGAGCGAGATAAAGACTTTGATAGGAGTCAGAAAGGCGGATCGATGACATATTCAAGCTACTCAGACCGTATTGCGAAATTTGAATTCGCCATCGATCGCTAACAAGGCAGCACTTAGATGTTAGAATTCCGTGATACTTCAACGAACAATGATGTAGATAATTAAGTCCCTGTAATGACATTTTTAAGATGTTTTCTCTTAAATGATTCAGTACGTTGACGATGTCATGAATAAATGATATCTTTATGAATTCATCAAACTTAACATTGTTTTGGGTAATAACATCGAACACGCTCCCTCGACAACAATATTTCCAAACAGTCATGCAAGTAGACGGGTCTTGAATAGTTAGACCCATGAAACAATTCAAATTCGGGGATCTCAAGCTGACCATCTATAAAATATGTTGAAATTTTAGATGAGTATATAGCCCACCGTTTGCAAGATGTTACGAGATTGCAGATCTTCTTTTGGTTTGATTGAATGCCTCAAACCAGCCACAGCAATCTTAATGATACTGTGAGTTGATAAATCTCCGTAGTGCACAAACATTATTGAACATATAATAGGCAAACCTAGATGTTTCCTTTCTTGTTTCTATCGGAATCCGAAATGGCGTCTCTTTTAAAAACTAAACAGAGAAGCATTGTGAGCACACAACTCTGATGACATACAAAAGGTGAGATGGTTACAATTTTTTGCAATGAAAACAACGGTATCGTCCAACGGACTTCGGGATTAACTTCATTATGTTTTCTTGTTCGAAAAAGCCTAGAAGAGTTGAAACAACATAAAAGACAAGAATGAAACTTACTTTAGGAGTAAAGTGATG